GTCAAGGAAGGGAAAGTGAGGGACGGTGGCCTCACAGAGGCTGCAGCATCCTCTCAAGCTGGCTGATAGCCAGCAGCTCTGGAGAGTGGTTCCTTGACAAGTAAGGATAGAGTTAGAAGATAAAGAGCCGGAAACACCTCAAAGCAGGTATGAGAGCATCTTCCTATCATAAACAGACTAGAAGCTGAGCCTTCAAGGGTGAGGAAGTCGGCTGCTTCTCATGGCTCCTTCTTGGGATGACTGTTCAGCACCTGGGCCAACATGTCAAACATTGAACTCCTGTTGGATTTTACTTCACGGCTGGGATATTGTGTTTTGTCGTCAGTTTGTGTGTTTAAAAATTATAATTAGTTGTTGATAGTGGAAAATCATGAGATTTCAATGGAAATAAAGATTTCTAACTTTTATAAACCTATGAATGTAAATACTGAGCCCAAATTCTAGAATGACAACACTCAGCCAGACACCAATAGCCACGGCTGGTGTTGGGGGATGACGATTCACAGTCCCATCTGGCCCTTCTGACACGTGCATACCCCCAGCCCAGATGAAACATGGGAGGGGTCCCCCTGCTCTGCACATAGCCCCTGCCCAGATGAAGTATGGGAGGGAGACCCCCTGCTCTGTGCATATGCCCTGCCTGATGAAGCATGGGAGGGGGTCCCCTGCTCTGTCACTTGAGAGAAAAGTGAGTACATCATGCCAACTGTTTCATTTTTGCATTTTGCTTTTTTCTATTTACTTCGGTGATTTAAGGGAAAGGCCTTTCAATATGACTAAATGGGAACTATGTCTGGCTTTCCGCTAAGACCGTAGATTTCAAACACTGACTCCTAAAGAAACACCCACAAACACACACACACACACCTCATACACAGTTTAAAATGTAATCTAATGCAACTTTTAGTTGCTATATTGGCAAAAGCAGTGAGAAATTGGGAATGCAATTTCCAAAACAATGAGCATGGGGGAATACAAGGGCTTTGAGGTCCCTCAAGTCACAAATGTACTTATTTATTAACATGGGCAGAGAAAAAGAAAAAAATCTATTCCCCGGTATGATTCTCCTACATATTGCTTTTCTGTTTGAGGCAAGGTATCAGGAAGTTAAGTATGCAATCTAGAACAGACCTGTCTCATCTTGCCGGACTTACTTTCCTCAGTACTCTGGAGCTATACATAGTAACAAATTGAAATAAAATTGTATGACACATGTCCCCATGAACTGCAGAATACGAACTGTACAAATCCACAGTTTACATTCTGTGGCTATAACATATTTACAAAAATATGTATACTTTAAAAAAAATCTATAAACAGATTTTAGAAAAGTATCTTCAAAGAGTATTTCCTAAACTTTTTGTTTCAAATAGTTTCAAAAGGACATTTCTTTTCTTCTGTCCCCACTTCTTTGGTTAACATGTGTAATGAGTTGCATTTTTATTGTGTTGTTCTTTTCAGTGACATCACATAGAAGTAAGTACATAAATAAATCATTGTTATTTGATTAATTCTATGTAATAAAAACAAGCATGTATATGCTGATATTTTTATTTTTTAGCTGATTAAGGACTTTCCTTAACTATTTTACTCTCACATTCTAGAAGCTCAGCAAACAAATTCAGAAAGGGGAGTTGGTAGGGTAGATGACCCCAGACTAAGGGGTTAATCTAGTTCTATTTTGCAGGCAAGGGTCACCGTACATATGCTGCTAGCATATGACATAATTAGAAACAAGAATCAACCAGGCCAACCACTAATAAAAGTGACTCAGATACATGCTAAAGAGACACCCAGCAAAATCATCTGCCCACAGTGTCGTCCCCTTAGTCCCTGTCCCCCAGCCCAAGCACCAGACCCTTCATTTCACTTTCTGCTTTTCTGGAAACAGCAATTTTCAGAGTCAGAACACTGAATTTTAATCCAGATCTACCACCTGTTTTATGACATGGCCTATTTTTCCAGTCTTTAGTTTTGCTGTCTATTCAATGAGGATAAAAATAATAATGCTGAAAAGTTTTTGTAATAATCCATTTGTTCACTCAACAGATACTGAATTCTTACTCAGTGCCAAGGACTGTTTCAGGTGCTGGAAATACAGCAATGGGGAAAAAACTAAGTTCTTGTGCTGCTGTCTCTTATTTTTCTAGAGGAGAGATCATGGTAACATAACATACTGTGATGTTGTACATGAAATGTAGTAAGGTAGAGACAACCAATATGGAAGAAAAAGATAAAGCAGAAGGAAAGAACAGAGATTGGCAAACAGGTGATTTTTAGAGAAGATGATTGTTCAAAGACAAAAGTGCATGTATGAGAAGAGAATGTCAGGAGCTCAGCTGTGAGCCTGATGCTGAGGAGGCTTGCTGCATGAAAAGTAATTCTTCTATGTGTGGCTGACCGTACTGTTAAAAGGAAAAGCCTCAGTGTGTTACACAGACTTAGTTAGAAGGACTCAAACTTTTCACTGAAGCTTCAAAAAAGTCACACAATAAGGACAAGTTCACTATTTATAGCTATAGTTCAAATACATAATAGAAAACACTAGTGCTAATTCTCAATTACAAAGATATAGAACCAACCTAAGTGCCCATCAAACAGAGTCAATAAAGAAAATGTGGTAATGTGGTATATATACACCATGGAGTACTACTCAGCCACAAAAAAGAATGTTATGATGCCTTTTGCAGCAACTTGAATGGAGCTGGAAGCCATTATTCCAAGTAAGGTAACTCAGGAATGGCAAACCAAGTATCATATGTTCTCACTTGTAAGTAGGAGCTAAGGTATGAGGATGCAAACACATAAGAATGATATAACGGTCTTTAGGGACTCAGGGAGGAAGGCTGGAAGAGGATTGAGGGAAGGATAAAAGACCACAGGTTGAGAACAGTGTATACTGTTTGGGTGATGCCTGCACTAAAATCTCAGAAATCGCCACCAAAGAACTTATCCATGTGACCAAAATCCACCTGTACAAACAATTTAAATTTAAAAATTTTTAAAAATCCTTCAAATCTAGAAAACAAAAAAATGCTTGTGCTAGTTAAGACTAAAACCTTAAAACTCAGGACAAAACTGGAATACACTCATCTTAGAAAAGCTTAAAACAAAATTCCACATAATTAAAGTGATGTGCCAGGAATTGCAAAGATACCATCCTCTTTTTTTTTTTTTTTTGCCATAAAGATGTTTTATTAGGCCAAATACACACTATAATGGTCCCACCCTTTTTTTTTTTTTTTTTTGCCATAAAAGTATTAGGCAAAACTACACACTATAAAAACACTTTAAAATGTAGCAGGAGGAGATGTAAAGACTCAAAGAATTACAAAGAAGTAAGAAGTATCCTTGCAAGGTCATCACAGGGTGTGCACCTGGGCTGGGCTAGGCAAGGACACCCCTCAGAGAATGAGAGCCACTGAGGAGCGCTGTCAGAGAGGACACTTTTTCTGCTCCAAGAACAGCTTGGGGGAGTCTGGGGGACCTCTTCCACCTCTGCTGCTTCCAGGAGCCACTTCTTTCAAGATGAGGCATTATCCTCCTTGCCAGTTCTCGTTTGCCCCCAATGGCTCATTGTCAACATGCAGAAACAGAGAGGAGCATCACCTGTTTTTCCTGACACATCTGAGGCCAGTGGGTATGCCCAGGGAAACTGGGGTGGAAAGAGTATATCTGCCCACCCCCAGGCTATGCTTGCTTTATCTTGTCTGTGTGATATGGGGGAGGGGAATTACCAAGAGGTCATCACATAGGCCATGGACAAGTTCTACAAGAGCCAGGTAGAAGAGCACTGTCCTGGCATGCTGCCCAGCACCCAGCTCACACACACATCTCTTATTTGACAGCTTCCCTGAAGCAGGCCTTGAAGTCCAGGCTCCCTGACAAGTCTTAGGAAGAGACTCTGCCGGGCTAGGGTCCTGGGCTAAAGGATCCATCCCCAAGGGTACCACCCTCACCAGTCTCATCCCGACAATCTTGGATTATTTTTGCTCTGAAGTTTTGGAGTGGGAGTCAGGCAGACAGGAGACAGTGCCCATTAGCCAACTTTCCAGAGAACATCAACCCTCCAGACTGGGGCAGGTCAGACCTTCGCTAGGTCATTCTCACTGGTTGCCTGCTGAGGAAAACAGCACTTGTGAGCACCTGCTTGTCTCCCCAGGTCCTGTTCAGAAACCCCATCTGTGCCTTTGGACCGAGACTACCCAAGCATGCAGGCCAGCAACCTTATCTATGGCCTTCATGACCGAATCCCCTTATTTATAAGGTTCACTGCATGTGAGTATATGGTAGGCTCAATTCCTGCCTACTAACTCCTACCAGATACCCATGCCCACCTCATTAAAAGAGTGAGGCCACACAGACACACACAGGCCATTATAGTAAGGGGGTGGCTGGGGCCCTGCTTGCCTACCCTTCATTGCTGGTTCAGGGCCAACTGTCCAACCACATTCCTACCCTGAGGTGATACACTGGGGACATTATACACCAGGGTCACTGACCACCTATAAAATTCCACAAACAGGCCCAGTTGGCCCCCTGGAAGTTTGGTAAATAGGATAAATGGAGGCTTACCTTCAGAAACAGGTTTCCCACCAAGTAGCTGTCCAAGGCCCAGGCCAGCCCCAAGTTTGTGTGAAGCCTGTCTGCCATGTCTACAGCCCATGCTGACCCCTCCAGGAGCCACTGGATTGCTTGTTCTGGGATGTGACAAGCCCAAGACAGCTGCAGCCTAGCAGGACCACTATGCCCATCTGGAAGCAGTACCCAGGGGCCTATAGAAAGAAGTGGAGGTGAAACCAAGTGCCATAAAAATCACTAGGCCAAACTACACATTATAAAAATGGTTAAAATGTAGCAGGAGGAGATGTAAAGACTTAAAGAGATACAAAGAAGTAACAATGGCTATCAGAATACACTAAAGAATCCACACTACTTCTCCCTTTACCTGGAAAAGGAAGCTTCTAGGCCACCTCCTCCTTAGCTGTGGCGTCTTGGTATTACTGATATTCTGACACCAGGTCGTTAAGGTTGCTCTTGGCCTCAGTGAACTCCATCTCATCCACCCCTTCACTCGTGTACCAGTGCAGGAAGGCCTTGCACCTGAACATAGCTGTAAACTGTTCGGCATCGTGTTTGAAGAGCTCCTGGACCACTGTGTTGTTACCAATGAAGGTGGCCGACATTTTTAGCCCCCAGGGTGGGATGTCACAGACGGCTCTTTTCACATTGTGAGGGAGACACTCAACAAAGTGGCTGTTGTTCTGGATATTGAGCATTTGCTCATTCACCTCCCTCATGGACATGTGACCTCTGAAAATGGCAGCCACAGTTAGGTAGCGGCCATGTCGGGGGTCACAGTTGGCCATCATATTCTTAGTGTCAAACAGCTGCTGAGTGAGCTCAGCCACAGTCAGGGCCCGGTACTGCTGGCTGGTCAGTGAGGCAAAGCCAGGCATAAAGAAGTGCAGCCCAGGAAATGGAACCATGTTCACAGGCAGCTTTGACAGGTTGGCATTCAGCTGGCCCGGGAAGTGCAAGCACATGGTGACCCCACTCATGGTAGCAGACACCAGGTGATTCAGGTCACCATAGGTGGGTGTGGTCAGTTTTAAGGTTCTGGAACAGATGTTATGGAGTGCTTCATTATCAATGCATAATGTCTCATCTGCATTTTCTATGAGCTGGTTGATGGAAAGAGTGGCATTGTAGGGCTTCACCATTGTGTCTGACACCCTGGGCGAAGGCAGGACACTGAATGTGTTTACGATGCTGTCTGGGTACTCCTCCCAAATTTTGCCCATGAGAGGTGTACCCATCCCAGACCCAATCCTCCCACCCAGGGAGTGGGTCAGCTAGAAACCGTGTAGGCAATCACAGCTCTCAGCCTCTCTTCTCACAACATCCATCACCAACTCCATCAGCTCCGCACCTTCCGTGTAGTACCCACTAGCCCAGTTGTTACTGGCCCCACATTTACCTGTAAGGTAGTACAGCCAGTCACTTGATGGCCAGGTAAATGGCGGTCACCACCATTTACAATGGTGCAAAAAGGGCCAAGTGTCATATGTGAGGTGAAAGCACCATTCACCCTTCATGTGGAACAAATAAAACCCCCTCCTGCTAAGTTACAGGACAGCAGCCTTACTTGTTAGAATCTAGATCAGGAGCCAATCCTGAGACAGCCAACAACAAACTCGCTGCAGGTGGCTCCTGCCCATTCCTAGGCAATGGGAAGGCTGTAGTCATGGTCTCAACTCAGCTCCTTGCAGGAAGATTACATCAGCTCCCCAAGTTGAGGAGACACCTGGGCCTTCCTCCCCCAAAGCCCGTTTAGGAAAGGAAGACTGAGTGACTCAGAGTATGGCAGGGTGTTCAGGGGCCCCGATTCCACAGTTCCCATAGAGATGACCTTGAGGCACTCATTGACTTTGAACTGCCCTGGCGAAGGAGCCGCAGCCCAGTCCTCATCCACAGCTCACCAAAGAAAAGGACCCCGAGCGCATGGAGTCCATGGTGCCTGGCTCCAAATCCACGAGCACAGCGCAAGCCACGTACCTGCCACATGAAGGGAATGGGAAGGCATCGGTAAGGAGAGGCCAGCATTCCCAGGAGAGCTATTGGGGCAAGACTGGGTCTCATCACTGGCCTCGTTGTAGTGCACATTGATGCACTCCAGCTGCAGGTCACTGTCCCCACAGTAGGTGCCAGTGGAGTCGATGCCATGTTCATCAGATATCACCTCCCAGAACTTTGAGAGATGCAAGAGGCCAGACAGGCCAGGGCTGAGTCACAGAGCTCAGGGAGCTGGAGTTGCTCCAGTCCCTCTCCCACTTCCATCTCCACCCTCAGGCCACTAAGTCCCGTGAGGTTCGACCTGGCAGTCTTGCCAGCCACACAGCTCCACCGAATCCTGGGCAGGGAGCCCAGGGATCGCAATGCAGAGGTGCCACTGCTTCCACTGCCAACATCTTCACCAGCCACCCTGCAGACCCTAGCTGTGCCCTTAGATTAGACCCCTGGCTGCCAACCTTTACATCGATATGGTTCCTGCAGTGTCTGGTTTGGGTGAGCATGATCTCCCTCATGGCCAAGTCGGGACTATGGGCAGCAGAAGAAACTTGAAAAGGAGAGGCAATCACACAATGATTCAGCCTGCAGTCTGCCAATGCTTAAGGAGCCCCGCAACCACCTCCCGCAGCCTTGGATTGGGCTCCCAGAATAAGAAGCAGCTTTCTTTTCCATGGGTATACCCACCTGTGAATCCCTTGGAGTTTAACGTCTATTGGAGAGATCAGGTGGCCTTGCTGAGGACCTTTCCACATTGGGAAAAGCTGGTCAACTGGAGAACTTCTTCCCATGTCTTCAATAAGATTAAATACCTAGCTGAGCTGAAACTGAATTTTCTTCGTGTGGAAGGGAAAGGCTTTTGTTTCCATATCCACGGAGTGCCTTTGCACCTGTCCTAGGTTGATGACATATTTTTGTGATTGAGAAGAGATGAGTCCTTTCATCTCTTAGGAGATCTGTGCTTAGGAAAGGCTTTCTGTATGCCAACTCAACAGGACCTAATTATAAGTTTTCCTTTGGAGCAGCTCAAACTCATAGTAAGCTATGGGTGTTAGAGGTGGTCAGGCCTCTGATTTCGTTAGAGTTGTCTTGAGAGTATGATTAGTTCTTTCACATTTCCAGAGGACTACAGTCTCCACACAGAGCGAAGGTGATATTTGATTCCTAAAGCTGAGGATAGGTATTGGGATATACCCGATGTGAAAGATGGGTCATTGTCACTTTATAGACTTTTAGATGATCCAAACGGAGAAATAGTATCTTCTGGCGAACACTTTTCAGACAGCATGGGGAACGCCTTGATCTAACCAGTGAAGGTATCAGTAAGTATTAGCAAATACTTGAATGTCCTACACAAAGGCATCTGAGTAAATTAGAGTTTTCAGTCCTCACCTGGAGAGGATTCTCAACGTCAGACATGTTAAACTAGAGGAGAAAATTGCTGGCTGTTTGGGTTACTTCAGGCACAGAGCTCAGGGCAGAGTCACCTGTTTTAGTGTCTTGAAAAGATTCATTGTCATAAACCAATGAGACATTAACGGAAACAAACAATCTTTCTAGGGTTAAAAGAATCATGTAAGTGCTTAATTATTTTCCTATGATTAGTACATGGCATTAGTAATGTATTAGCATAAGTCAGCCAGCTGGAGGGGTTCTGGGCTAAACTGCATTCCCTGGCCCATTTTTCTTCTTCTTCGAAGCATTTTGGCCCATCTCTGGGTATGCTGACCAGCATGCCCATCAGCTTCATTGGCCCTTTCAGTGCAGTGACCTTGACTACCCCATCTGCAAGGGCATTTTTTTTAACACAGCCAATCTCTCTTTTGACGTCCTCTGCAATGAATTATAGTCACTTTTCTTTGACAGCCAAGCAACATTCTAACAAGCTCAAAATCTGAGTGACGTTGTATGGGAAAGCCCTCTGTGGTCATGAGTCCCTACCCATTCCAAGTTGCAGCATAAGCATGAAGCACCACAAAAATCATACTTAGAATCAGCGTAAATGTTAACTTTGAATCTTTTCTCAACTGCAGGGCTCTGGTAAGTTCAATTAAGTCAGCTTTTTGAGCTGAGGTGGAGGCCAGCAAGGCTTGTGACTTGATTAACTTGTGCTGACTAATAAGTGATGTCTAGCCCTCCTGTTTTCCTGATGCATAAAACAACTTGCATCTGTTACCACTCTTCCTTGGGATGGTCAAGGAGCTCATCTCAAGTCTGGCCTGCTAGAATAAATTTGTTTCATAACCTGTGACATGGTTTGGCTGTGTCTCCAGTCAAATCTTATCTTAAATTGTAGCTCTCATAATTTCCATGTGTCTTCAGAGGGACCCAGTTGGAGGTAATTGAATTGGGTGGGGGCTCCCCATGCTGTTCTTGTGACAGTGAATAAGCCTCATGAGATCTGATGATTTTACTTTAAAAAAATTTTTTTTTTTTTTTGCTTGTTTTTTGAGACAGTCTTGCTCTGTTGCCCTGGTTGGAGTGCAGTGGCATGATGTCGGCTCACTGCAGCATCTGTCTCCTGGGCTCAAGTGATTCTCCTTTCTCAGCCGCTTGGGTAGCTGGGATTACAGGTACCCACCAACATGCCTGGCTAATTTTTTAATTTTCAGTAGACACATGATTTCACCATATTGGTCAGGCTGATCTCAAACTCCTGACTTTAGGTGATCCATCCAGCTTGGCATCCCAAAGTGCTGGGATTACTCCGCTTTATAAAGGGGAATTTTTCTACACAAGCTCTTTTGCCTGCTGCCACATAAGAGATGTGACTTTGCTCCTCCTTTACCTTCTGCCGTGATTGTGAGGCCTCCCCAGCCATGTGGAACTGTGAGTCAATTAAACCTATTTTCTTTATAAATTACCCAGCCTCAGGTATGTCTTTACTAGCAGCACGAGAACAGACTAATACAATCTGTATGCTGGAAAGGCTGGAAGCACCTGTGTACTCTAAGGACTGAATATGTACATAATCATTTATTGTTTATGTATTTACACTTAATTTGTTAATATTAGTTTGCCATTTAAAGACTAGAAAACAGAGAAGTTAAATAATTTGTTTCAGAACACACAACTAGAAAACGTCAGTCAGATTCTTATTTTAGGGGACTAACTCTAGAACCTACTAAACACTAAGTCATATAACCACTCTAAAAATCTTAAAAACATCCCATCCACATCTTCCACTCTGCATGCCAGGTTGGGGGAAGAGTGATGAGAAGAAAAGAAGAGAGTAGAATAAGAAGGAAATGCTGATGTTCTTAAGACAGTCAAGGCTTTCAAAACATCAAGTGAGAAATGGAAAAACACAAAGATGGGGGAAGAGGGAGGCTGTAGACCAGTTTAAAACTTCATCTTTCAGTTCAGCACCATGTTTAAGAAAGGACAAAGAGTTGGTTGCAAAAGACAACAAATGGATGAATCTAAAATAGCATCTTTTTCTATGTAAAAAGATACAAACAGTCTCTGAGGACTGATGATTGAAACTGACAGAGGTCTAGAGTGAGAGAAGAGACAGTAATTCATATGGAATGGAGACTCACCAGTGTTCCCAGAGTCACCATTTCAGTGGTCAGTATCATTCACACACCACCTAAGGATAGACATATGTGTCAGTGTAGAAGAACTGAGAGTCTAGGAATAAACCACCTACAGCCAGTTGATTCTGAACAGGAAAGCCAAGACTATTCAATGGGAAAAGAAACAGTCTCCTCAACAAATGATGCAAAGACAATTGGATAGTCACTTGCAAAAAAGAGAGGTCTTCTCACACAAAACTTGACTCAAAGTGGATCAAAGCTCTAGTATAAATGAGTTCAGATAGTGTGAAACACAGTGTGGCAATTCCTCAAAGACAAAGACAGAAATATCTTGGACCTAGCAATCCCATTACTGTGTATAGACACAAAGGAATACAAAGGCACATGCACACTTGGATAACTTGCAGCACTATTCACAATAGAATCAAAGCCATGGAATCAACCTAAATGCCCATCAGTGACAGACTGGATAAAGAAAATGTGGTACATATGGAATACTATGTATCATGGAATACTATGCATCATCACAAACAATGAGATCATGTCTTTGCAAGAACAGGAATGACTCCGGGAGCCATTATCCTTAGCAAACTAACATGGGAAAAGAAAACCAAATGTCACATGTTCTTTTTTTACAAGCGGGAGCCAAATGCCGAGAACACATGGACACATAGAAGGGAACAACACATGCTAGAGCCTTTTGGAGGATG